CAATACCGAACGTTATCTCGCAGAGTCGTGCGTCGAGAATGCGGACCCTGATCCCCCCGAGGTGTCAAATTACTCGTAAGTCACTTATGTCACAAATTACTCTATGTCACTTTACAACAGTAAACTCTTTCGAAAGACATAGACACGATTGTACAAATATAAATAAATGTAGAGTCGTATTACCGGATGAAAAAGATGAAATTTAAAAATTATAAGTATAAAGAACCTGTTCCGTTTACCGTTTATGCGGACATCGAGTGTATGTTAAAGCCAATTGCGGATAAGTCTAATTCGTTAAACACAACTCTCTATCAAAGACACGTTCCACACACTGTAGCGTACTATTTACAATGTAACTTTGATGACTCTATTTCTAAATTTAGACCTTATCGTGGAAAAGATTGCGTGGAATGGTTTATGAATCAATTAAAGGAATTAGCTCAAGTTGTAGAGTTTTACCTAAAACGTATCGTACCAATGGAATCTCTAAATTTCAAACAAAGAAATGAATTTTACTCGGCCAAGATTTGTCATGTTTGTGAAAAACCGTTTACACCTCAGGATGCCAAGCATCGTGATCATTGCCATTTTACAGGCAAATATCGCGGTGCTGCACATCAGGGGTGTAATTTGAACGACACGTTCCACACAGTATAGCGTACTATTTACAATGTAACTTTGATGACTCTATCTCTAAATTTAGAGCTTATCGTGGAAAAGATTGCGTGGAATGGTTTATGAATCAATTAAAGGAATTAGCTCAAGTTGTAGAGTTTTACCTAAAACGTATCGTACCAATGGAATCTCTAAATTTCAAACAAAGAAATGAATTTTACTCGGCCAAGATTTGTCATGTTTGTGAAAAACCGTTTACACCTCAGGATGCCAAGCATCGTGATCATTGTCATTTTACAGGCAAATATCGCGGTGCTGCACATCAGGGGTGTAATTTGAACTATAAGAACTCACATACCGTTCCTGTTGTATTTCATAACTTATCTGGTTATGATTCACACTTCATGATTAGAGCTCTAGCTACATCTTTCGAGGGTTCAATAAATCTCTTACCAGTAAACAAAGAAAGATACATATCTTTCACGAAGAGCGTCAAAGATACGATTGTAAATTTCAGATTTATCGATTCATTTAGATTTATGCCGAGTAGTATTGACAAATTAGCATCCTATTTGAAAGATGGTGAAAAATTAATTACGCGTAAACATTGTAATAATGTAGAGGAATTCCATTTATTGACTAGAAAAGGTGTTTTTCCCTACGAATATATTGATAATTGGAAAAAACTCAAAGAGGATAAATTACCTACAAAAGAAGAATTTTATTAAAAATTAAATAACGAAGGAATCTCAGAATCAGATTATGACCACGCTTGCAATGTTTGGCAAACTTTTTGCATCGAAATATTAGGCGAATATTCTGATTTGTATCTGAAAACCGATGTTCTCCTTCTAGCCGATATCTTTGAAAACTTTAGACGCAACTGTTACATCATATACAATTTAGATCCTCTACACTATTACACTGCACCGGGCCTTGCTTTCGACGCTATGCTCAAGTGTACGGGTGTGGAACTTGAGCTGCTGACTGATGTAGAGATGTTGTTGTTTATCGAGAGAGGTATCCGAGGTGGCGTAGCTCAATGCTCCAACAGATACGCCAGGGCCAACAATAGGTACATGGGAGCTGATTTCGATCCAAGCAAAGAGGAATCGTATATTATGTA